TAATAAATAATATATTATTATTATTATTATTATTATTATTATTATTATATGAAAAAATAAAAAAAAAATAAATAAAACTAAGAAAACTTAGATGCAAAGTTTTTTGATGCAAATTCTGATGGAAAATTCTGATGCAACTGTAATGCAACTCTAATGCAACTTTAATGCAATTATAATGCAAAAATCTGATGAATCATTTGTAATTAATCCTGGGAGGGAGGGAGGGAGGGGGTGAATAAATAAGGGTAGCGGGTAGACTATATTTTCATGATTCCAAAATGAAAATAAGTTTACTTCAGGGATGCGCCCCTGCCCACGCGAGCCATGATTTTTTCCTATTTTCAAACAAAAAATTAGGAAAAGTCATGTCCTAACCTTGAATCCTATCCACAAATCCTAAACCATAAACCATAAACCATAAACCATAAATATCATCCCTTCTATCATCATTTTCTATCCAATCCTTATATACACACACACACATACACAAATTCACACACCTGACTTATTAATTTATTAATTTTAATACAAACCCTGTATCTCCCCCTCCACCCATTCCCACCCACTTATCATCAAATTAAATTTTAATATTAAAAAAAAAATACAATTGCAAAATATTCAAGGAAACTGATTTATGATGACGATGACGATGATGATGATGATAATGATGATGAGTATGATATGTGTATGTTTGTTTGTGTACAAATTAGAAATATTATTGAAAAATTAAAAAAAAAAAAAACAAAAAGTAGGAATAAAATAGGAAAAGAAAGATAGGAAAAATGTAAAAACAATTTAATAAATAACAAAAGGTAAAAAAGAAGAATAATAATAAAATAATAAATAGTATTGTGAAGGAAGAATATATAATTTATTAATTGTTTTCAAATTTGTTAATGTAAGAAATAAGATAACTAATAATAATAGTAATAATACTAATAATAATAATAATAATAATAATAATAATAATAATAATAATAATAAGAATAAGTAAGTAATATTTAATTAGGGAAGATAAAACAATGAAAAAAAGAAATCAAAAGTAAAGATAATAATGTGCTAATATAAAATATAAAATATATGTATATATATATATATATATATATTTATACCATATATATGTATACCATATATATATAATATATTATATATACCACTGACTTCATAAAACATATATAATCCTAATATTGTTCGTTCAATTTATTATTATTATAGTTTATTCGAAAAAATGTCATGAGTTTAGTATTCTTTTTTATTTATTTATTTATTTTATTTTATTTTTTTTTTTCACTTTACTTCTCATTGAAAAAATATATTCTATATATATATATATCTATTTTCAATTGAATCTAATATATTAATTTTTCAAACGACAACACCTAAACACTTTGTTTCTATAATTCATGTTAACACATTGAGCGTGTTTTGGATGCCAATGCCCAATTTTAAGGAAATCCCCGGTCAGGCCACGTGTGTCACTTAGAAGAAGGGCTAATATTGTAAGCCGATTGTTTCTTATCGTAATAGAAGATGGTTTACGTTTAGAACGAAATGCCTATAGCAGGGGTCGGCAACCTTTTCAATCGGATGAGCCATAAATTACAATTTACAAAATTTCAAAGTTTTTAAACAACCACAAGACTTTTTCTTCCTTGCCAACAATAAATAGTATTAATAACTAATAGTATTAATAAATAAAGTTTTTTGATAAAAAAAAAAAAACCTATTCCTCATTAATCGATTTAGAACGACTTTAAATTCTTTTAACTAAAGAGCCGCAACTTCACATCCAAAGAGCCGCAACTTCACATCCAAAGAGCCGCAACTTCACATCCAAAGAGCCGCATGTGGCTCGCGAGCCGCAGGTTGCCGACTCCTGGCCTATAGGCATTCATTCAACACGTTTTTTGTATTGAATTTTTCAAACATATTTTTTTCAATAAATTGTCTGTAATTCCATAAAACAATGT